AGTTCCCAAGAACAACTGATTCAGAGTATCTGAGGCAAAGGCCTACCCATCTGTTCTAATAACAAATTCCTATGGCTCACATGTGAGCTCAAGTTTGAGAACCACTATTCTACTTAGTATGCATGCAGTTACATTGCTGAGGAACATTCTCATCAGTATTAAGAATAAAATTATTGAACCCCTGAACCCACGCAGGAAACTCCAATAAGCTCCTGGATTCTGACTTTTGCCTGGCCTACCCCCAGCCATTGCAACCATCTAGGGAGTGACCCAGCAGACAGAAGATTGCTCTTTCATATGACATTCGAATAAATACATAAAATTTTAACAATATAGATGGATGGAGATATCCAAGATGGCAGAATAGGAGGGAGCTTACTAGTCTAGCTTAAGAGAAGAGACTTTAACAAAAAGTGGAGGGCTGGCACCGCAGCTCAATAGGCTAATCCTCTGCCTAGCAGCGCGCTGGCACACCAGGTTCTAATCCTGGCCAGGGTGCCGGATTCTGTCCCGGTTGCCCCTCTTGCAGGCCAGCTCCCTACTGTGGCCCGGAAGTGCAGTGGAGGACGGCCCAAGTGCTTGGGCCCTGCACCCGCATGTGAGACCAGGAGACGCACCTGGCTCCTGGCTTCAGATAAGCGTGATGCGCCAGCCACAGTGCGCTGGCCACGGCGGCCATTGGAGGGTGAACCTATGGCAAAAGGAAAACCTTTCTCTCTCTATCACTGTCCACTCTGCCTGTCAAAATCAAACAAAAAAACAACAACAACAACAAAAAGTGGAGAGAGTGAAGTCTCAGGGAAGAGCTCAGTTCTGAAAACGGCAGAGGCAACTCCACGTTATTTAGAGGGACACTGTGCACCTATGTGGAGGGTGTGGACATGCACAACTCAGGACCCCAGCAGCTGAGAACCTCAAAAAGGGGAGCACATTTCTCTCTCCCCAACCACCCTGCATCGGTGTCCTGTAACAAGCTGAGAGATGGCGGGTATCATTTTGGACATAAGTAACAGATGAGCCAGTTCATTTCTGTGTGCCCAGAATCCAGCTCTGCAGAGATGCCTGTGTCTAGCTGTGAGAATTGACAGGGGGCTGGGTGATCCTGGCTGTGGGAGGCTGGTGTGCCAGGACTGTGAAAATGCTGGGGCTGCTTGGGAGGGCTCAGGGTGTATATGGGACTTAGGCAAGTCAATGTGGGAGGCTCCACACAGGATTCTCTGGTGAAGGTCATTGCTGTACAATCTGGGCTTACACCGAGGACTGCACAGATCCTTTGTGTGGTTCTTGTGGCAGTGTGGACAAGTATTATACCTACCGGGGCTAGCACCCAGGCACTAGTTTCCTTAGAGAGAGGAAGTGAATGTGACACTCTGCCAACAGAGTAGAATAAACCCCCCCTGATAAAAAAAAATTACCACACCCAACCTGAGGGTGTCACCTTGGACAATCCCTTCACCCAAGAACACTGAACAGACCTCCCTACCACACCAACCACATGCTTCAAGGTATTCCTGAAAAAGTGAATACTCCAATAAGTCAAAGAGATATAGTTCAAAGATAAAGCCATCACAACAAAAAGCAAAACAAAAAGAAACCAATGAGAATCTGCACAAATGCCAGATTATAAATACAGCAACTCAAGATAAAGAATAAGGAAGACAACATGATGCCCCCAAAAGAACACAACACTTCAACACTAGAATGTGAAGATGAAGAGACTGAAGATGCCAGAAATAGAATCCAAAAAAAAATTAATAGTAGGATTACACAGAAGTCATCAGAAATAATCAGAAGGGCCGTCACCGCAGCTCACTAGGCTAATCCTTCGCCTTGCAGCGCCAGCACACCGGGTTCTAGTCCTGGTCAGGGCGCCAGATTCTGTCCCGGTTGCCCTTCTTCCAGGCCTGCTCTCTGCTGTGGCCCAGGAGTGCAGTGGAGGATGGCCCAAGTCCTTGGGGCCTGCACCCCATGCAAGACCAGGAGAAGTACCTGGCTCCTGCCATCAGATCAGTGTGGTGCGCCGGCCGCAGTACGCTGGCCGCGGTGGCCATTGGAGGGTGAACCAATGGCAAAGGAAGACCTTTCTCTCTGTCTCTCTCTCTCTCACTGTCTACTCTGCCTGTCAAAAAAAAATAAAAAATAAAAAAAAGAAATAATCAGAAGAAAATTCACAAACTAATAAAATCCATACAGGAAAGAAAATTTCTCCCATGAAATTGAGATCTTGGAGAAATCAAAAGGGAATCTTGGAAATGAAGAATTCAATAAAACAAATAAAAAAATGTAGTAGAAAGCCTTAACAAAAGACTTGGTGAAGCAGAAGAAAGAATATCTGAGTAAGCAGACAAATTGTAAATTTCAGAGTCAGACAAAAAAAGAAGAAGAAGAAATTAGAAAACTGAAAGCAATGTTGGCAATTTACAGAATATTATCAAATGACCCAACATACGGGTCTTAGGAGTTCCTGAAGGTGTGGAAAGAGAGAATGGATTAGAAGTCATTTTTAGCAAAATAATTACAGAAAACTCCCCCAATTCACAGAAAGAAAGGGACACCCAAGTACAGGAAGTACACAGAACTCCTAAAAGCAATGACAGGAAAAGATCTTTACCACAACTCATTGTAGTCATACTCTCAATGGCAAAACACAGATTCTAAAATGTGCATGAAAGTAATGGGAGGTAATTTTCAGGGGATCTCCAATCAGACTCACAGCTAATTCTCAATAGAAACCCTACAGGCTAGGTGAAAAGAGCAACCTATATTCCAAGTCTAAAGAGAAAAAAAATTGTCAACCCACAATACTGTACCCTGCAAAGCTCTCAGTCAGGAATGTAGGTGAAATAAAGACCTTCCATATCAAACAGAAATTCAAAGAATTTGACACCACCCATTGAGCCTTGCAAAAGAGGCTTAAGGATGTGCCATACACAGAAACACAGAAACACGGTCATCACTGCAAAAAGGTGAAGGCAGAAAATGTCCCAGTAAAAGTACAAAGGAAATCTAAAGCAAACAACAACACGAATAGTTATGGAAAAATGGCAGGGCCAAGTCATCACTTATCAATAGTCACCTTCAATGTAAATGGCCTCAACTGTTTAGTTAAAAGACACAGACAGGCAGAATGGATTGAAAAACAACACCCACCTGTTAGCTGCCTACAAGAAACACAACTCACCAACAAAGACACCCTTAGGCTGAAAGCAAAAGCATGCAAAAAGGTATTCTACGCTAACAGAAACCAAAAACAAGCTGGTGTAGCCACTCAAATGTCAGACAAACTACACCTTAAAACAAAACCTGTAAAAGGAGACAAAGGAGGGCACTAGGTAATGATTAAGGGATCAACTGAACAGGAAGACGTGACTATTATAAACATATATGCACCTAATTACAGGGCACCTGGCTATTTAAAAAAATGTTACTGGATCTAAATGGAGACATGGACTCCAGTACAATAATAATTGGGAACTTCAGTACCCCTTTTTCAGTAATGGACAGATCAACCAGACAGAAAATCAGCAAGGAAACAATAAAGTTTACCAAAACTATAGACCAAATGGACCTAACATATCTACAGAATTTTCCATCCCATAGCCGCAGAATACACATTCTTCTCACCAGAGCACAGAACTTTCTCTAGTATTGACCACAGGCAAGGCCATAAAGCAAATCTTACCAAATTCAATAAAAATCTAAATCATACCATGCATCTTCTCTAACCACAAATGGAATGAAGCTGGAAATCAACTCAGGAATCTCTAGAGCATATGCAAACACATGGAGACTGAAAAACATGCTCCTGAATGAATAGTGGGTCACGGACGATGTGGGGGGAAAGTTATCCTAATCCACTGTTGGTGGGAATCTAAACTGGTAAAGCCACTGTGGAAGACAGTATGCAGATTCCTCAGAAATCCAAAGATGGATCTACTTTTGACCCAATCATCCCACTTCTGGAGATTACCCAAGGTAAATGAAATCAGCAAATGAAAGAGTTATCTGTACCCCAATGCTTATTTCAGCTTAATTCACAATAGCTAAGAAATGGAAGCAACGCAAATGCCCCTCAACTGGATAACTTACAGGATATGTACACCATAGTATATTCTTTTGTAATGAACAGGATGAATCTGGAAAACATCATAGTGAAATAAGCCAGTTCCAAAGGGACAAATACCATATGTTCTCCCTGAAATGTGGTAACTAATAGAGCACCTAAACGGCAATCTTTTGAAGTGAAATTGATACTTTGAGAGGCAATGATTTTGAACAGCCCTTGTCTCTACTGCTGAGGAACAGTTTCTTTTTTTTCATACTACTTGTTAAATTCCATACTTAACCGAGTTAATTATGAGTATAAAGTTAACTGAAAATAGATCTTAGTAAAAAATGAGTGGGAATAGAAGAGGGAGGAGGAAGAGGGTGGGAAAGTAGATGGTAGGGCGTGTATACTGGGAAGAATCACCATGTTCCTAAAATTGTAATTATAAAATATATGACCCTTATATCCATTAAATAAAAGGTTTCTGTAGGAAAAAAATAGATTTTTTTATAACAGCACACCCTGACTTTCCCTGCCATGCAGAAAGGGCATGGTGAGACCATCTGCCTCACAGACAGGCACCCTGACTCCACCTCCCTCACAGACAGGCACCATGATTCTTCCCGCCCAATGGGTGGGTCACCCTGACTCCACCTGCTTCACACTAGGGCACCCCGACTCTGCCTGTCCCTTCCCTTGCCTAAGAAGGCAAATGTTGTGTGGCGAGAATTGGGGTCCTGAGTGCTCTGGAGATTTTTTCAAGCATGGCTGACAGCAACCCGTGCATGCATGAGGGCAATATTAATGGAAAAGTCAAGTTAAAAGTTCGAGTTTATTTTGGCACAAAAACAATTTTAAAAATCATGCATAGGTTTTTCATGCAATGCATTTCCCACATGTTATGAAAAAAAACTACCAAAATAAACTCAAATTCGAATATACATTTACTTACTTGAGAGGCAGGCAGAGAGAAATATACAGTCATCTCATCAGTTTACTCCTCCAGTGCCCAGAGTTGGGAGCCAGGGGATGGGAACACAATCTGTCTGTGTGACAGGAATCCCCTGCCTGCTGCCTCCCAAGGCCTGCAATACACGCAAACAGGAGTCAAATCCAGGTGCTCCACTGTATCTCTTTTGTTCTTTAATTTATTATTATTTGAAAGTCAGGCAGGCAGGGAGACGGAGAAAGGGAGGGATTGCTCTTCCAGCCCTGCATCACTCCCCAAATACATGTGACAGCCACGTGGAAGCCTGGGAGCCCCATCCGGGTCCCTCAGGTGGGTGACAGGGGCCCAGGTATTCGGACCATCTTCTGCTGCCTTCGCACTCACTAGGGTGTTCTCTTCCTGGGAGGAGCGGCACTGACCGCGTGGGTGGCCAGGTGGGCCTCGTAGGCAGCCCCGGCCCCCTCCCCACAGATGGCCAAGCCGGCCTGAGCCCAGATGTGGGGGCTCGGTCTCCTCAGGCTCCGGTGACCTCAGGGAAGTCGCGCTTGCGCAGTCCCGGCCCAGAGGGTCGGGCCTGCTCCAAAGGAACGGGCACAGGGGACAGGAGTCCGGCCAGCGCCGGACACCAACCCTTAGGCCTGCTACTGGACGTGGCGGGCAGGAGCACCTGGGAGCGCGGCTCCAGCCCAGACCAAACCCCACCGTTACCTGAACGCTGAAGCTGGGTGACCAATCAGGTGCTACGAAACATTAACGACGGCCGAGTTGAATGTAACCAATCAGGTGCTACGAAACAAATGGAAGCAGAATGTGGCCAATCAGACGGTACAAAACGTAAATGGAAGCAGAATGTGGCCAATCAGACGCTATGAACCGTAACCGGCCGCGGAGTGCACCTGCGCTCGCACACAGAGCACGCATCCCCGCCTGCTGCTCAGGACCGCGAGCTCACTAAGCACGGGTTGTCCCTGCAGGTCCCTGCGCGTCTGCGTGGTTGCAGAGGGTGAGAGTGGAAACGCCCTGCAAAGGGGCCGCGAGGACACGCAGATGAGAAGACCTAGCACAGGCGTTTTCGGAGCAGACCTCCGCGGGTGTCGGCGGGAATGCCCGCATCCTCCCGAGGGAGACTCCGCGAGTGTCCGGGGCGGCCGCTTCCCGGGGGAGGACACGGGACCTTTCCTCAGCCTGGCGCCCCCACGCCGTCTCCAGCCGGCCGCCCCCAGCACCAGTGCCCCAGGGTCTGCACACCGGCCTGCACAGCCTCGTGCCCGGCCCCGACTGCGTGTGCGTGAGCAAATGTTTCCACGCGAGTCCGCGTTGTTGGAGCCGTCACGTGGTAATGACGTCCTGCTGCCGAGAGCAGCCACGCTGAGGGCTGAGGACACAGTCTCTGTCCATTTACCCGTTCTGTGTTTTTAGTGTTTCGCTGTTTTTGTTTTTTTGTTTTTTGTTTTTTTGTTTGTTTTTAATATTTACTTCGTTATTTGAAAGGCAGAGCAGTATAGAAAGACAGACAGAGAGAAGATCCTGCACTCCCAGCTCACTCCCCTGATGTCCACAACAGTTGAGCCTGGGCCGGGCCAAAGCCAGGAGCCTGGAAATCCGTCCAGGTCCCTAGATGGGTCCTCTATGCATCGCCTATATGGGTCGCCTGGTGCTCTGGCAGGGAGCTGGATTGGAAGTGGAGCAGCCGGGTCTCACGCCAGTGCTCTGATCTGGGAAGCCGGTGTCCCAGGCAGTGGCTTAACCTGCTGGCCACAGTGCCTGTCCTATCCACTCACCTGTGATGGACACCTGTTTTAGTTTCAGTGTTTTGTTAAGAATAAAACCAGGTGAGCTTGCGCTTCCTACTGAAGTCTTTCCTTGTGTAAAAATACACTGGTTTCCCTAGGGCATACACCTAGGAGTAGAACTTTAGTTCAAACTTCCCAGTGATAAAGGGTGACTTTTTAAAGAGCTCACAGAAATGTGAACTAAAGGTAGAATCCCCTTAAAGTTTGTTTTGTAATTCACAGATGTAGGTAGCATCATCTGACATTAAAAATGGCTCTTAAAAATAATGTTATCCTGGGGCTGGTGTTGTGGTGTAGCAGGTTAAGCCACTGTGTACAATGCCGGCATCCCAGATGGGCACTTGTTCAAGTCCCGGCTGCTCCACTTGTGCTCCAGCTTCCTAATAATGTGCCTGGGAAAGCAGTGAAAGATGGCCGAGGTCCTTGGGCCCCTGCACCCACATGGGAGACCTGGATGAAGCCCCTGGCTCCTAGTTACAGCCTGGGCCAGTCCCAGCTGTTGTGGCTATTTGGGGAGTGAACCAGCAGATGGAAGATATCTCTGTTTCTAACTCTGCCTTGCAAATAAATCGTAGAAAAATAACTTCATCCTGTATAAAATACCAAAAGTGTACTCTCAGAGTATATGTTTCCCATTGTTTTGACTTTAAGCAAATTCACGTGAAGCAAATAGGGCTCAAGCAAAGTGGCCCAAAGATCCCACAGAGGGTCTTGAGACAGCTTCCCAACTGCACGGGCGGGACTGAGTTTGCAGGAAGGGCAGAGGGGACGTCCATCCCTGTTCAGCTGCACACCAGGGGAAGGACACATACATTTACACACAGGGGTGGGGAGTTAGGATGTTGGCACAAGCAGACACTGGGTAGGAGAAAGAAAATATTCTAGTTATGTTCACAGAGCTCTGGGGAGACAGACAATGGGCAAGGAGCTGGGCCTTGAAACCTGGCTGAGCCACTGCAGGATCCTGAGCAGGGGCAGGCCCAGAGGAGCTGCCAGACTCAGTGCGTTCTCCCAGCAGAGCCCAGGGCAGTTTGTGGGGAGGCAGGCACAGCGGCCGAGGGCTGGGCACACTGCCTTTGTCTGAGAAGGCGACGATGCTGTGCTGGAGGTCTCTCTCCCTTTTGAAAACCACAATTAACTGCCTTTCAGTTAATGCATAAAGAAGACTGTTCTGGCCCATAGATCTGAGCACTCACATTCTGCTTATGATTTTCTAAAGATAAAACTACAACACGAGTGGGTCGAGAAAATCTCTTCCTCCCTTCCTCCCTCCTCTCTCTCTCTCACACCCAGTCATATTATTCGGCCTTAGAAGAAGATCCAACAATATGCTAAAATAGAAAATTCATTCCACTCTTTTTCTAAAAATCCAGAATTGACAAATTTATACCAAAAAGAAAAAAAGCTTACTCTTTGTTATGAGGTACAAAGAAGAAAATAAAAGCCACCAGCCACAAACCCCTGAAGAGTGGATGCATTTTGTTCCAGTATTTTACTTGGGAGTCTACCTGTGATAGTTTCATGAGAATGAAGTCACTCTGTTCCCACAGTAACTGTCAAATTTAGTGTACTGTGAACAGCTCTCATAACCAGAAAACGCTTCCTTGCAGGATCCTTTTCATAATATTTATTCATTTTTACTTATATGAAAAGCAAATTGATGGGGGTTATGTGAAGAGAGAGAGAAAGAGGTCTTCCATCCACTGGTTCACTCTCCACATGCTAACAACAGCTAGGGCTGGGCCAGGCCAAAACCAGGAGGCAGGAACTCCATCCAGGTCTCCTGTGTGGGTTGGCAGGGGCCCACGTACTTGAGTCATCATCTGCTGCCTTCCAAGGTGAGCTGGATCAGAAGCAGAGGAGGGACTCAATCCTAAGCACTGTGATATGGGATGTGAGCATCCCAAGTGTGGCCTAACCTGCTGCACCACAATGCCTGCCCATGAAACTCTGTAATGGGTCTGTTTGGAGCCAGTGGATGGGCACTGAGACCTACTCACCCTCCTGCCTTCATTACTGAACACTGAACAGCACCAGCTGTTGCGGCCAGCAGATGGAGGACCTCTCTCTTTCCCTCTGCCTCTCTCTAACTCTTTCAAGCAAATAAATACATCTTTAAAAACAAACAAAAAAAGGAAATTACATAGATTTGTGTAAACTAAAAGGCAGTGTGAAAACATTCCAAAAGTTCATGGAACATGTGTCTTATGAAAAAAATGCAAGGATTTCGACCTTTTTTTTGCATCAGTATAAATTTATGCTTTAATTGCATTTCCAAGAGCTTTTTGAAGTTCCTTCATATATGTTGTTTTTTAAAATGTTTATAACAGTGTACTGATGATCCTATATTTAAATAAAAATAATGTATTTATTCATTCTTATGTACTTGCACTACAAAAGGGAATTTCTGGAAGCATAGTAGCAATCCTCATGTTTCTACATGTTTAAGATGACTGTAACATGCATTCCTTTACATTTAAAAATCTGTAACCAGGGGGCCGGCACTGTGGCATAGCGGGTTAACGTCCTTGCCTGAAGCGCCAGCATCCCATATGGGCATCAGTTCTAGTTCCAGCTGCTCCTCTTCTGATGCAGCTCTCTGCTATGGCCTGGGATAGCAGTAAAAGACTGAACAAGTCCTTGGGCCCCTGCACCCACGTGGGAGACCCAGAAGAAGCTCCTGGCTCCTGGCTTTGGATCGATGCAGTTCCAGTCATTGCAGCCAATTGGCGAGTGAACCATCGGATGGAAGACCTCACTCTCTCTCACTCTGCCTCTCCTTTCTATGTGTAACTCTGACTCTCAAGTAAAAAAATAAATAAATCTTAAAAGAAAAATATGCAACCAGGGGCTGGCTGGTGTTTTGGCACTATGTGCTAAGCCACTGCCTGCAATGCTGACATCCCTTATGGGTGCTGGTTTGAGGCCCAGTTGCTCAGCTTTCAGACCAGCCCCTGCTAATGCACCTGGGAAAACAGCAAAAGATGGATCAAATCTTTGGGTCCCTGCACCCACCTGGGAGACCTCAATGGAGTTTCAGGCTCCTGGCTTCAGGCTGACCCAATTGTGGTGACTGTGACCTTCTGGGGGAGTCTCTCTGTCCTTCTCCCTCTGTATAAATAGATCATTCTTTAACACAACATAACTAAAACCTTTGTTGACGGAAATATTGCCACAACCTGTTGCAGTAGCCATGGAGATACGGGACAGGGACATCCTGGCAAGAAGGAACAAGCCAGCAGCCACGGGGGTATAGTCAGCAGGCAGTGGCTAGCTGTGGAGCTTAAGGGATCTGTCCCAGCCATGCTGTGTGGATGCTGCCAGAGTAGGCAGAGCCCCTGCCTCCGCAGGGGCTCTGCACCGGGAGGGTGGGTGTGCAAGTCCCAGCCCCCTGGGTGCTCCACCCCTCTGAGACACTGTCAGCCATTTCTCCTGGCTGACAGCACAGAGCAGCTGCAGCTCTAGTCCTGCCTCCCAGACACTGTGGTTCCAGGATGCTGCCTGCTGCTCCTAGCATGGGGCCCTGGTCTGCAGCAGGGGCTGGGTTGGCTCCCTTCACGCCTCCCAGGAGGGTCTCAGTGGCTTTCTGCACAGAGGTTTTCTCACTTTCACAAGGCTGCACGCCTGACATCACCAGCTTCGCACAGCAAACCCCAGCAATGTAGGCCTGGCAATCTGCATAACCCAGGGTGGTCCCACCCTCACCCAAACTGAGATGCAGTCCGCAGCTTTCCTCAAAAACAAAATACCTGTTTAGAAAAGACAGGACTTTTGTAGCTGTACCTGGCAAACCCCACACTGGGTCCAACAGAAGGGGCTCCTCCTTCCCAGGAACTTGTGGAGGAGTCTAGGGTTTGAGAGGCTGACAAAGGCTCTCTCCTTGCCCAACTCTCTGCAGGTGCCCCGCACTCTCCTCTCAGCCTGGCCCTGGTGTTTGGCCTTCCACGCTCTCCCCCGTGTTGTCCAGTGTGTGCAAGAATCCTGCTGAGTCAGCTCGGTCCTTGATACCTGATCAGTCTCCGGCTCTGACTGGGTCCCCCCGACCCCCGCCATCCCCAGCTGAGATCTGGTCACCCAGACCCTCCTTCAGCAAGAATCCTGTTGGTTCTGTTTGGCCAGAATTCCCCTGACCCCTGAGCTTCCTTAGTCATGGTCCATCCCTGACCCCCACGCTGCACCTAGGCTATGAATCCCTGTAGTGCTGTGTTCAGAGCT